TCACGGGTCATGTGCTGTCATGTGAAGATATGAGAAGTGGGGGCATTCGAAAGGGAAATGTGTACTGGATGGCAAGTGGCCCAGTTACAAAATGCTGTGGCTGGTGGGATTCTGTATCACTCAGGCCTGGCTCCTTGTTGGGTACGTTCACTCAGAGGACTAGTTTACTGCCAGTCAAGGTTGCAGGACCTCCCACATGGAGCATCTCTGGCAGGTTCTTTCTACCATTTGGGTGCCTGAAAAATATAATGATGGCTGCCTTCCTTTAATGGTAAGCAGCAAAGAAGTCCTTATAGTGCACCATCCCTGAGGGAACACCAATAAAATACTCATTTTTAAAGCAATGTCCAGGTGTTTGGTGCATGGACGTTTGGGGGATCACAGGGTTTATCACTTTGGGTTTAAAGGAAGTGGTTTTGTGAAGGACAAAGATTCATTTCTCCTGGGTCAGTTCAAAATTATTTATTTATAGATGTATTTATTTATATTTTTAAAGGGTAAATATTCCTCCCTTCTGGAATTTTTAAAAAATGCCTCTGCGTCTCATTGCCATACTTCATGACAGCAAAAGGCTACCTGTCCCTCAACTGTCTCACTGTGGCCTACTTAGCAGTTGAATATCTAGTAGCTGAGCAGCCACAATGAATGGAGGTTTCTTCTGGAGTACTCACTATGTGCTACATCAGGAGAGGGTCTTTTAAAGTCTCCTCAGATTCTTTCATATTATTTCCTTTCAAAATGAAAGAGTTTTGTGTGAAGCAGCACCGCCTGGGTATGAATTGGAGTGAAAACCAGAAATCAAATTAGTGTTTTGTTTGTTTTTTTGCAAACTAGGTCATATTTCAGGTAAACTCTTCACATCCCTGAGAAAGCCTTCTGGGAGATGTAGCTAGAGTCAATATTGATATTAGTTCTGGATTTCCAAGATCTAACTTACAGACAGGATCCCTAAAGCAAGGGTTGAAATGTTGTCCCTTTCAGAGTTTGGAAGAGTTAGGTTTTGGACAATAACTCCTCAAACCCTCCCCATCAGAAGGGACAGGGATTCTGGGAATCATAGTTGGAAAAGTAACTTTTCCAAACTTTAGGTTTTTTCCCCTGTCAGGACTTTTGGGATGGTGGTGGCAGAGTTGGTGTGAGGAAATTGAGTGTAGCATTAATAAATAATAATAATAATAAACTTTCTCTTATTATGCAGCAGAAAAAAATTGTGCTGGCAGGGACTTACAGTGCAGTTTCAACGTGTTCCTTAGAAGACAGACCCTTTTTTATTAGTTTACCTCAACTGGTACTGATTTCTTGCAAGACACTCAGAGATTCTGGTAAATTAGAATAAAATGTTTCCATTTATTTACACCTCTTATATAAAAACAAACATTCTGTGGAAATGTTAACTTGTTACATTATTGAGCTCTCCTGCTTAATTTACTTCATTATTGACTAAGTGGTTACATGTAGGCAGATGGGCAATATAGAAAGCAAACAAACGAACAAATTCTGGACAGAATACTTCACTGTCATCAGCTCAATTCACTGACAGAAGGGGCCTGCCCACTATCAACAAGCTTCTGCCAAAGTGGTGCCTTCCAGATGTTTTGCACTACATCTTTCATCTTCTCTGACCAGTCTCACAGCTGTGCTGAACCAGGCCATGATGAATCCATGGCAGTAAATTACTGAGCTGCCAGATTTGTGCTCTAGAAGTGTGACTCAAATTTTTAACCAGAAACCCGAAACTAAACGAAAAGACAAAATATAAAGAAGGCAAAGACGTTGTGGCACCATAAAGACTAACTGCTATGTTTTAATGTAAGATTTCATGGAGCAAGTCCACTAGGTCAAATGTAAGCATGAGAATACTGAGACTATATAGCAAAACATTCATACATGGCTCTAAAATAAAGAGACAGTGGTGGTTGGTAGGTTCAAATAGTAAATTGTGTGAGTCATTGAAGGTTCTTAAAGCCCTTAAGTGTGATGTTTTCAGCTCTTTGATTTCTATTCATAACATCTGTAGATGAGGGCAGAAAGATCGTAGCCACAGTATGCAGGGATGGTTTTAAGCCTTTCCTGAGAATTATTATGGGCCAAGAATGCCAACAGAATAATGAGGAACAGACTGAAAATCCACCAGCCTGCCCCATCTTTGGGTACTGCTGTTTCGGGGGGGGGGGTCAGATATATAATTCAGTCCTTGAAACAGCAGTGCCCAAGGATGGGCCAGCTTCTTGTTTGCTGAGCTGAACAGGTGACTTGCCCCACTCCCAAGTCCATGTCTTTGTATGAAACCTGCCAGCTAAATTTAGATAATCCTGCATTGTTGCTATGTGCTGCCATGTCCCTTTCAGCTTATGGGGAACCCATGAATGGGTCCAGAAGGTCTGAACATTAACAGCTCTTATCCAAGCTTGCAATCTAGGGCTTGTGGCTTCGTTTATGGAGTCAATCCATCTCATACTTGGTCTTACTCTTTTCCTGCTAACCACATGGCTTCACAACATATTGTCTTTCCCATGATGATAATGCACAGTCAAAATGCTCATGCTGGCCCAACCAAGCCTGAATATTCTTTGGACGCAAACCCTTGGAAATGTCTTGCACATGTTCTTTGACGAGCTTCTCAGTGACATATCAGGGGGAGTGATTTACAAGAAAATCGCAGTAATGTGTAGATCACATTTCCTTCAGATTTCGTCCTGACTCTTCCGTGCCCCCTCCAGGCAGCTATGCATAGGCACAATCCTCATAGGGTGGTTTTTTTGGGGGGGGCATGCTGGTGGTCTTGTACTAATGGTTACAGGCACAATCCTCATGGGGTGGGTTTGTTTTTTTTTTGGTATGCTGGTGGTCTTGTACTGATGGTCCCCCCCCAATATATATATTTTACTTCTATAAACCTTATAATCACCCAAACCTGTGGATATTTTCATTTTGTTATCCAAGCAAACAGGAGAGTTGTAGCCTTTCCAAGTCCCAAATAGAGTTAGCTGTGATACAAGGGTTTATTATTAAAATAATTTATTTATTGCATCTTAGACCATGAGGGCTCGCAAAGTGATGCACAGCTACCAAAACAAAAACGAAGAGGGACAAATGAATGAACAAAATAAATTAATTTTAAAAACTGTTAATTTCTAAACAGAATATTCACATCTCAGGCACTGCTAGATGCAACTCAGGCTGAGGAAAAAACAGAAGGAGAATAGAACAGATGGTACCAGTTTTGGTGGCAATCATTTCTTGAAAGAGTGCCCAATGATCAAAGTGCCTCAGTCAGAACGAAAACCAAGCATCTCGGGCATGCTGTGGGTGCCAAATCCTGTGTTACATGAGAGTCACTAAATTGCAGACAATGGCAATTCTTGAGGCAGAGGGTCCCTGTGCTCTACGCGCACATGTCAAGAAAAGACAAACCATCTGGGCAAGACGTTGGATCAGCCTTCCTGCAGAACTGTGGCACAATACAAAATGAGATTAGTTTTCTCATCAGCCAGCAGGCAGCTGAACAAATCAAGACAGCAAAAGATCTGGGTCACTCTAGCCGATCAACCTGCCAAATTACTGTATGACCAAATTACTGTGGTATGACCTAACTGAGAATGACAATATGTTTTCCCGGTCCAGATCAGTACAGTGGGGTCTCTACTTAAGAACTTAATCCGTATTGGAAGGTGGTTCTCAAGTTGAAAAGTTCTTATGTTGAATCTGCATTTCCCATAGGAATGCATTGAAAACCATTTAATCCGTATCTGCTCTTTTCCTTCCATAGAACAATTTCTGTGACCTAAGTGAGAATGACAATATGTTTTCCCATCCAGATCAGTATTACTTCTGTCAAAACCTGTCTGTGGGGCATCTGCATTCCCACACTAGGTGAGACTCCAGAGCTACAAGAGTCTCAAAACCTCTTTTAAATTATTTAAAATAATTTAAAGAAGCTTGCATCCAGGCATTCTTCCAGCAAATGGTGGAGGATACAGGACAGAGGGAAAGATAACTGCTGTCAAAACCTGTCTGTGGGGTATCAGCATTCCCACACTAGGTGAGACTCCAGAGCTACAAGGCCATAGAGGTTTTGAGACTCTTTTAAATTATTTAAAATAATTTAAAGAAGCTTGCATCCAGGCATTCTTCCAGCAAATGGTGGAGGATACAGGACAGAGGGAAAGATAGCAGTAATCCAGGCTGGGCATAATACAGGATCAGGTCCTTAAAAGATCCTTGTGTGTCTGGATTAAGAGACCTGGAGGTCCAAATGTGACCCGGAAGCTGGAGGTTGTATTTTTCTGGGCTTATCCAATGTAGGCTAACATGGAACTACCTACTACCCAGTGTGGGATGCCCAGCAAGCACAGTTAGGGGCTAGAAGGGAGCAAGTTAACAGTTTCAGGGACCTATTCTGGGATGGAGCCTTACCAGAGTAACCTAATACAGTAATAAAAATGTGCCATTGGGTTGGTTATTATTTATGAGATTTCCTAGGTATACCATATCCTGAAGTAATTACCAGTTGGGGTGAGGGGCTCTTGGTCCAAATGTTATGCTAAACACAACAAAGCCCAGCTCCTTTATGAGACACAGTGAGGAACTGAGCTCCTGATTCAGCAACCAGGCACTCCAGTTCACAGACCCTCCCTTCTTCACATTAGAACAGTCAATTAAAAAGAATGAGATAAGTGTTTGCTTGATCTTGAAGCCAACATGCTGGCATGACGCTTCAAGTCATCTCAGTTCAGATAGATTTTCCCCCACGGTTTTCTTTCTTTCTTTCTTTCTTTCTTTCTTTCTGTCTGTCTGTCTGTCTGTCTGTCTGTCTATCTATCTATCTATCTATCTATCTATCTATCTATCTATCTATTAACTTTTTCAGCCCTAACATAGCATTGATCCCTTGGCATCTCAATTTCACTGATTTCCCATCAGAAGCAATGAACTGGCTTCAGCTGTGGCTCTTTGCCTTTGAGGGCCATGTGATCTGCGGGGAAGGTATAAAAGGCCCTGGAGGGCCAGGGTAGGCTATCCTTCCTCCTTTGTTCATTGAGATTGTGTTAGTAGCCACAGGGCTGGTCCTTGTGGCAAATTGTTTGGTGGTGAGTACATTGATTAAGTAATGGCGGTTTTTACAATCCCAAGCTCTTCCACACCATGAAGGAAACTTTTATGTTTATTTTTTAGTATATGTGCCTCTTTTCTCCTGATGTCTGGTTTTTCACTTAGTGATGAGGGATGGTCACCAGGTGGAAAGTGTTTCCAAGGAGACTAGACAAATTCATGGAGCTTAAGGGTTGGTCTGATTCCCCACAGCCCCTCTTTCCTTCTAAACAGACCTTTAGCACAATGCTAAGTATCTTTGTTGAGAGAAGAGGGCTGAACAGAGTTGCTCCCTTAAGAAGGCTACTTGGATCTGTAGCCTTATTGTGCTCTCAATTAAGCTCCTTTTCTCATGATGTTTGGGGACACACCTGTTAGGTAAGGCAACTAACTGCCTTACCTCTAATGTTTCCGAAGGATAGGCTCTCTTCCTTTTCAAAACATAGTTGACTTCAATGCCAACTTCAGAGTGCTGCTAGTGAGGGTGGCTTAGCCCCTTCTTTCTCTTGGGGAGTTTGGTGTGTTTTTTAAAAAAAGATTTCTAGGAAATTGGTTATTCCTTTTAGTTAGAGTATAAGGCAGGAAAGTAAAGAAAACAACAAAAAAAGAAATGTGGAAAGATCAGCCAATTCTTATCAAACAATGTTCTCTCTAGCTTGGACACAAAACTAACACTATATGGTTAAAAAAGTATGCTAGATAGTTCTAAGATTATATCTAAAGTAGAAAAGGTTATATTTACTTACAATTAACATCTTAGTTATAGTCAGGAGGAAAACAGAGTCTCTAGCATGCAAGAGCTCTAGCATGCTTGCTGCTTGGAGGATGGTAAGAGGAGGCTTATCAACAAAACAATGGGCAGAAAAAACAATCAGGTACAGGGAGTGGGGGCTTGCCTTATTTGCCAGAGGTAGGAAAAGAATTTTATCAATCAAGTTAGTGGCCAAGGGCAAACATATTAGACTGAAAATCCCCCTTCCATTGACACCCAGTGTCAGTGCATGCAAGATTGCTGTTATCCCAACACTTCCATTCTTTGGACTAATTTCTGTGCCTTTTCTGCTGACCACCACTTTTGCACAAAGTTCATGCTGGTCAGGGGAGCGTGTGCCCGGAAGTTGTAATCCAAACTGTTGCTTCTGTTTAGCTTGCCTGATGCTCCCTCCTGAGAGCCAAACTAGAAGATGTAACATTAGTTGCCTGAGTAAGTGTTGTATTATATAAATAGGCAGGCTGAGACGGGTGTTGTTTATAAACACTAAATTTTCCTGCCCTGATATTGAGAAATAGTGCCTCTGAGGTAGCTGTTTGCATTTCAAAAGACTCCCTCAAATGCCTGTGGGAGCTGGTTGCTTGAAAATGGGCTCAGTGTCTTCAGACGATTTTTGGCAAGAAAACTGAGTGAAGTTCTCCACAATCTGCATAGTCCCCAGGTTGCTGTTTATATAACCAAATTTATGCATGTTGTCAATATTCATACAGGAATTTTCACAGAAGAAGCTGTATTAGCATCTGTCAATCTGTATATCTCCAAAGCAAAGAAAATAAGTTGGAAAGCTTGTGAGATCTTTAACACTGATAGATTTATTGTAATGTGAGCTTTTCTGAGTCACCATCTGCTCCTTCAGTACAATGAACATAACACGGAGTTAGTGAACCGGGAAATACAGTCTATACTGGTGCAGTCCATGGAAAAGGAATTTTTGTATTGTTGTTGTTGAAGCCCTTGGAAATGATTGGTATTCCTTGTGGAAAAGGCCCCGTAGCTCAGGGACTTATTCTACAGGGCAAACAAAGATGGCCTGCTACAAACTCACATGAGAGATTGCAAAGAAACCTTCCATTGAGAATATTCTTCAATACAGAATTCTTCTGTGGATTTCAAATCACTGGGTCTTACCTTTTGGCCTTCTAGATCTTGTAGACTTCAACTCCCAGCATTCCTCACTGTTGGAGCTACTGGCTGGGTCTTCTGGGAGCTGAAGTCAAAAACAGCTAGAAGGCCAAAGGTAGACGGTTCCTGCTTTAAAGACCTGCTGCCCAGGAATGGCGTTGCCACTTCCTCTTTTGAGAGCTAAGTCTTGCTGTTTTTTAACTTGCATAATATATTACAGATAATTAGGACACTTCTCTCTCAGGTGTGTCTGGTGTTTAGGGTGCCCCACTCTGTGCTTAGATGGCCTTTAGGAACTGATCCTAGCTGGAATTCTGTGCTTGGAGTAGGTGCTAAAACTGATTTGTAGACATTATTGCTTTTTACCCATGATTTAAATGACTTGAGGAGGAGTATTTTGTACTCCATTAGAGGTTGGAAAAAAATTCTTTTTTTTTTTTTTTTTTTTGGAATTTTGCACTCCATTAGAAGTTGGAAAAAATCCTCTCTTTTTTAAAAAAATCCTCAAAACTTTTGGATGAGTTGTAGTCCAAAGAATAACTTTTTGAATTCTGTAAACTTAGCGTATGTCTGAGCCCTGGACAAAAGTGAATTTTCACTCCATTAGAAGTTGGAAAAAATCCTCTCTTTTTTAAAAAAATCCTCAAAACTTTTGGATGAGTTGTAGTCCAAAGAATAACTTTTTGAATTCTGTAAACTTAGCGTATGTCTGAGCCCTGGACAAAAGTGAATTTTACCTCAAAACTTTTGGACGAGTTGCAGTCCAAAAAATAACTTTTTGAATTCTGTAAACTTAGTGTGTGTCTGAGCCCTGGACAAAAGTGAATTTTATCCGAAGAGTTACATTGTCATTGAGAGTCTTGGCCTCCTGGGATACCTCAGACTCCTTTCAACAGAAATCAAGCTTTTAAAATCTACCGAGTGTATTAATCTTGCCTGTCCTCAGTGCTGGCCAGCCCTCTTCCATGTGTGAAGAACAGAAGCATTTCTGCTCAGCTGTTAACACTAGGCTTCCAGGAATAATTAGGCAGGCTGCTAATATGAATGGAGTGGAGGTGAGGTGTCATCTGGGCATTGATGTTTTTGTAAAAATAGAAGAAACAGATTTGAATTTCCTTTTTCTTAGCTAAAAGGTAACTGCATGGCCATCTGGGCGGTCTTCCTAAAAAAAATAAAAATAAAGTATAAGGTTACTCTTCAGCCTTAATTGTCTACACTTGCTGGGGGATGGACTACTCCTTGGTCCCATATTCTGTGTTGGGAACAGAAAGGAACCCTAGAATCCAGTTGGCCATGGGTGTCTTTAAGTGTTGCCCTTATGGTCTTATGGAGGAGAGCGAGGGCATGCACGCTAACAAGTATGAACAGAGGCCTTCTCAACATTAATGCCCAGGGATCCTAGAAAGTCCTTGGTACCAAGTCCCAGTCCTGAGTCCCTCTGAAAGACAAGCTTCCCCCCCCCCCCAAAAAAAGGGAAGGGTGGATAGGTTCCGAGTCAGGAGTTGAATCTGAATTATTGGGGGGAAAACCCACATCAAATCAAAATTGAGTTGCCAGTACAACTTAAGTCTGACTTGACCATGAGTTCCATGACTTGAGTTCCCCATCTCTGTTATCCAGCACCTCTGATATGCTAGAAAGGCCCTTCAGGATGTGAACCTCATTTATGGAGTATCTGAGCAAGGCTGTCTCCGTGTGCTGGTGTTTCTTCTGGGTCTTAGAGGAATTATATACCCAGTTATATATTCCTGTTACCCAGTTCCTCACCCTTTCTACTCTGGTTTGAAAGTGAAAAATGTGCTATGGCTGTTGGGAAGGGACTGAAGATAACTTGCTTAATAAGGTGGGGCCTACATATTTTCCAGTGCAAGCTGCCACTCATATTGAGGATTGTATCCATGGACAATATAAGAAGGGGGCTGTGTGTTCACCAGGGCTTCGAAAGTCCCCAAAAAGTGCCACTTTTGGAAGCTGTGTGGGATGTCAGCTTGCCTATTCTGTCCTGTTTCCTCCAAGGGACTTGAACATTACAATGGATGAACCTAACACATTTCTTTTTCCAGCTTGCAGGTGTTTGGCTGAGAGGCCCAGAGAAAGTTTTAACATGGTGAGTGCAAAGCTGTTTTGGACTGGGATAGGTGGGTGGGATGACGGGGCTAAAGAACTGAGCTGTGGGTCTGAGCTACATGTTGCTTGTACTTGAGTTGCCAAATGGCCCTTCTTTTTCCCCTTGGAAATTGGCTTTTGATGGGAATGAATTATTATAGAAACCTGGATGCCAATGGCTGGGTGATTTAGTCTAGTCCCTGACTGCAGTCTCCCAACACAATAGTACCCTCTCCAATACGTGTCCTGGGAATACAGAGGCAGAGCTGGGAGCATGTGTCCTATTTTAAGCCACACTTTGCTGAGTCATACTCTGAGAAAAGCTCACCTCTATTCTTGTTTCAGTTCGTTTTCCAAAATGCCTTCAAAGGCCTGGGCCAGCTTGAAGCCTACATTGATGCAGAGGAAGGAGTGGCTTTCCAGATGGACAACAATCTGTTCTGGGACTCTCTGGGTCGAGGCTACGGCTGGGCCATCCAGGGCCTGTTTGACAAGATGGAGTCAGCCAAGTTCTGGATCACCCGCCTGCCCTCGGGGAAAGTTATGCTGAGAGACTGGATAGGCATGTACCTTGCCGCGAGGGATGTTGGGACAGATCCTGACACTTTCCCCATCCAGCCAGTCGAATACTCCGAAGATGCATCTCTGCAGTTTGAGGTCTTCCATAGAGGTAACAGGGTAGCCTTCCAGGCTTATAACGGTCTCTTTCTGGCTAGGATGTATAGAGGGTTTTACACAATAGAAGCAGCCAAGTTGTTTGCAGATGATGCATGTTATTTTCGGCCTCTGATTGGGGATCTTGTCCCCCCTATCTTTGAACTTGTACAAATGGACATAGAAGATTATTCCAAAGTAAGATGCCACCGCCATGTTTTGGAGAAGCAGACCTACGTCAACCGGAGTAACGTCCTGGAGCGACATATCTTCACCATGACTTGGGAGACTCACTGCATTGACCGGATCGTCTGGGATCGTCTGTGGGGACTTGGCTTGCCCTTTTCGTGGAGTTTCACAGTGGAGGATGCGACCCCCAGTGTGAAGTATACTGAGGACAACGAGAAGGCCGTCTCTTTGACCAGGTATATTTACATGAAGCAAAGGAAAGAGGTGGAGGTGCCCCCCAAGACCAAAGCCATAGCCAGCCTTTTGGTTTTTTGGCATAAGACAGCCGCTGTGCCGTTTACGGCCGTCATAGAAAAGGTGAAATCAAACGGAGAGGTGGAGGTTTTGTATGAAGGTGGTGCCTGGCATGGGCTTGCCTTTCGTGACCTCCACATAAAGGTCAAGCTGGAAAAACTTGGTGGGTTGTGCCCAACCATGTGAAGGCAGCAGAACTAGCAAGCTTCCAAAGGACCTGTGTGCCTGAATGAATATTCTTGCTAGGATCCTGAATCATCCTCATTTGGCTCTTTGTCTGATGCTGTCATTTTGCACAGTTGCCATCTCCTGGGGAATCTCTGCCTATTCCTTTCTGCTTCCCTGGTGTTGGAATAAAAAATGTTGGCTACCTTTTTATGACAAGAGCAGAAGAGAATTCTTCACCTTGCAGTGCACTTGAGAGAAAAAATGAATAAAATGATGAAGCCTTTTGTGGAAAAGTCGACTCTGTTTGTGTTGGAGACTCTGAGAACACTAGAAGGGCCTTTTCAGATTTAAAGGAGAATATCTTTAAGTGGGATCAGGAAAGATAATCTATTTGCCAGGCTTTGGAGAAGTTAGTTATTTGGATTATAATTTTTCAGACAGCACTGGGCATGCTGGCTATGGGGATTCTGGAAGCTATAGTAGAAAGAAGTAACTCCCCCAAGCTGTGTTGCAAAATATTGTTCAGAACGTATGTTCAGAATTCTGAAGGAGCCTTGTGGCCCAGTGGTTAAACTGCAGTACTGCAGCCAACACTCTGCTCACAATTCAGGTTCAATCCAAGGTTGCCAGTTTGTGGTTCACACAGATTTCCAACCTTTTGAGGCTGGGAAAGTTGAATACCCAGCTTGTGGGGGGGGGAGCGCAATGTGTAACCCTGCATAACTAAATTACGGTTTGAGGTTCACACAGATTTCCAACCTTCTGAGGCTGGTAAATTGAATACCCAGCTTGTGGGGGGAGGGGCGCAATGTGTAACCCTGCATAACTAAATTGTAAACCACTAGAGAGTGCTTTATGCGCTGTGGGATGGTATATAAGCAGCACACTTTTTTCATTGTTTTTTTGCATTTTGCACCCATTAAGTCGCGTTGCTACGTTCTGAGAACTTGCACAATAGCGGAACTATTCTCTCTCTCTCTCTCCTGAACACTCAGCTGCCCAAAGCTACTAGCTTTTTCTTTGCTCCTCTACTTGTTTTAGTGCAAATGCCAAGGAGACTTTTGAGGCATCACAATAAGTGGAAGATCTCCCAGAAGGGATTGCAGAGTTGAGCATATTGTTCTTTAATGAGCCGGCTGGATAGCTCAGTGGTTTTAGGTATCTGGCTGTGGAGCCAGAGGATGAGAGTTCAATTCTCCACTGTGTCTCCTGAGTGTAGAGCCAGCCTGGGTGGTCTTGGGCAAGCAGCACAGTTTCAGGGTGCCTCCAAAAGAAGGGAATAGTGAGCCACTTCTGAGTGTCCTCTACTTGGAGAAGACTGAAAAGAGTGACCGTAAGTCAGAATTGACTTGATGACACATGATCATTCTTTAATTATGGAAATGTTCTTCAGTGTTGTTCTTCCTATGCAATGATTTTTTTTTTTTGTTGGCAGGTATAATGCTGGTCCCCTTTCTGATAAATCATTTACAAATCTTAAGTAGAATCCACAGAGAACAAGAGATCTTTGTAACTCTTTCCTAGTTGCTGGTATAATACAGGTCTTGGATAGTCAGCACATCTCAAACCTCTGTTGGACTTCTCTTGGAGAGCAATGATGAGTCCTGCATAAAGCCATTTTCTGACGTGTTTGTGTGTGTGTGTGTGTGTGCGAATCCTGCATAAAGCCATTTTCTGACATGTGTGTGTGTGATCAGACAACAGGAAAGGCATGCATCTGATTGCTCCAGAAAGAGTCACTTTGCAGAGAGCAATCTCCCTTAAAGCAACCTTTCCATTTGTTGGGGAGTCTCTCCCACCTGCCCCTCCCCAAAATAATTGCTCTACAGCTGGACTGAAAAAAATTGAGCTTGTGCACGGGTCAGGTAGGAGTGTAATTCCCTGTACATCTTGTGATTATTGGGGAGATAGATCACTCCAGACCACTCCCCATGGGGTCCGCACTGCATTCTATTTTCCCGTACGATCGCACCATAGGTTTCTTCACAATTGTCTGGTATGCCAGTGGGATTTCTTTTAGAGTAGAAAAACCCAATTGGAGGGCAGGAGGTACTGCTTTTCTCTCACTGGCACACTCTCTGGCACTAGTGATGTAATTTATTATCTATTATTTATTGTGTGGACGAAGTTGCATACTTGGGAAGTCTCTGTCTTGGTTCTTCCTAGCAGTGCCCTTGGCTACCTCAATTTTGCCACTGTTTTCTTGGGGACTAGAATATCAACCCCCCCTTCCAATCTCTTTGCCTGTTTTCATCTTCCCTGACAAGAAGTTTTCAACAATTAGTTTTGACTCTTCTTGGGACATTGTTAGTACTGGTGTCTCTAAAGGATATATTCCTGGTAGATTGTTCCAGGGATTTTGCGGTAAATCATTGTATCGCAGTATGGACTTCATGGAGTCTTCCAGCTTGGGCATCACATAATACCTGGCTGAAAAGAAAATGAAATTGACTGACTTTATGTCCAGGTGGATTATTCAAATCTGGATAACTGAATGCACAACTTATTTATTTAAAATATTTTTACTCTGCCTTTCTTCTTAAAAAAGGACCCTGGTGGCTTACATCATTAAAAACACAATATTAAAAACTAAAAACAGTAAATTATTCAAATATAAAGAAGAATTAATAACATTAAAATAAAAATGTTAGGTAAGAGCATGAGGAAGCAACAAAATATTAACCATCCCATTTATTGTCTCCTAGACAGATTAAGACTGCCTTAAGAGAAAGGTCTTACCCTAGCCTTTGGCTCCATTCATAACATTGTTCATCACTTTATTACTGTGCCATCAGGCGATGACTTGAATGTTATTTCTGAACTCCTGCTATTGACTGTTCCTCACTTTATTACTGTGCCATCAGGCAATGACTTGAATGTTATTTCTGAACTCCTGCAGCAGATGGCAGAGTTAGAGTTTATCTTACATTGTTCCTTATATTTGTAGTCAAGACACAAATATGAAATCTTGAGCTGGTCAGGTTCCTTAGCTGACTTGGGCACAGCAGTTCAAGAGGCTGATCGGTCTCTTTGCCTGTAAAAGCTTGTGATACCAGAAGGAGATATTGCTCTTCTGTAGAAGGGGAAATCTGAAATGAATGGGTCTTCTTGAAGAATTAGTACCAGCAGTTGTCTGTGCTTGCAGAAATCCAATCACCTTGAAAAGGATGACCACACATTTTATAAAGTCCCATTGTCCATAATGTATTCCCTGTGCAATAAATCCCCTGCAACCCAAACCTAGTGTAGGAGAGAGTTGTTGTTGTTTAGTCATTATGTTGTGTCTTCCATAATGTATTCCCTGTACAATAAATCCCCTGCAACCCAAACCTAGCGTAGGAGAGAGTTGTTGTTTAGTCATTAAGTCGTGTCTGACTCTTCATGACCCCATGGACCAGAGCACGCCAGGCCCTCCTGTCTTCCACTGCCTCCCAGAGCTGGGCCAAATTCATGTTGGTAGCTTCGATGACACTGCCCAACCATTTCGTCCTCTGTCGTCCCCTTTTCCTCTTGCCTTCACACTTACCCAACATCAGGGTCTTTTCCAGGGAGTCTTCTCTTTTCATCAGATAGCCAAAGTATTGGAGCCTCAGCTTCAGGATCTGTCCTTCCAGTGAACACTCTGAGCCAAAACATTTTCCAGTGGTCCTAAGATGGGGTTGGACAAACATGTCATTTTCACCTTTCCATATGTTTGAGTTTGTTTTAATAAATTCTGATTGTTTTAAAAGCCCTAAAATGAAATTCTCACCTGTCCCTAATATAAGCTGGCAGCCTTAAGATTTTTTTTCCTTTTTTAAAAATTGGGAGATCCAGGTGCTGGTTGCCTTAGTCATGTCTGCTCCAAACCTTTAAAAAACCTATACTTTCCACTGCTAAAATTGTGTTTTATTTTTCAATGTCTTTCTTTCTTGCTTGTTTGTTTGTTTGTTTGTTTGTTTGTTTGTTTGTTTGTTTATTTATTTATTTATTTAGCTTATATGCCGCCCACTCTACCCAAAGGTCTCTGGGCAGCTTACAACAATTTATGATCTTGTCCTTTAATTATAGTTTTAAAAAAGACTAGTACATTAATTTTAAGAAATCTTATTTCTTCCCTACTTCCCAATAAGAAAATTTTTAATGATTTTGGTAATTTTCAGATTCTATAAATCAGATTTTTTTTTAAAAAAACCCTAAAAACCCTATATAATCAAGGTCTAGAACTTATTCACCTCAAAGCAACCCTTCTAGATATGCAAATGTTCACCATTAATGTTATTTATTGCATTTAATTGCCTCTTAATTAAAATAGAATTTAAAAACCTGTTCTACTTGATTTATTACTATTTCCTCTGGCATCCTGCAGTTTCTGTCCTCCTTCCTGATTCCATTGGTGCTTAAAACGGGTTTCTTGGGTGACAATTCCTGCCTGCCTGCCTGCCTGCCTCACTCCTAAGAGTTTGCTGCTTTGTGTAAGTCTCTCCAAGTATTGACTGAATTAGTTAAGTAGCATTATACAGGTAGACTTGGAGAGGAGCATAAATCAGTTTTTTAAAAAAACAAGAGTTGTTCAACAAATAGTAAGCCGTTAAGTGGAGACGATTCTGTTGGTTTGATTTTTAAAAAATAAAAATTTAGAAGGCACACATTTTTCCGTCTCTCTGCAATACAGTGAGGCTAAAATTGAGACGTGGGAGAAAATAACAAGGAAAAGATCTCACAGATAATGGTACAAAAACTTGTTATGGAATCTTTCTGCTCAGAAACAGCAGGTTGGGTGCCTCTGTTCACTGAATCTCCATCTCACCAACCGCTTGACTTCCACATTACGAAGGCTGTAGATAGTAGGGTTGAGCACAGGGATGATCACTGTGTAGAAGACGGATGCCATCTTGTCAGTTTGGGAGGCGAATGTGCCATTGGGCCGTAGGTACATGAAAATGAGGGTGTCGTAGAGTACCCCCACAGCTGTAAGGTGGAAACCACAGGTGGAGAGAGCTCGCTGTGACCCGATATGGCCCACAGTGCAGAGGATCATTCCATAGGAGGCAACAATGGCTGCCAGAGTGATGCTTTGAATAGCTCCACACACAGCCAACAGCAGGAGCTGGTTAAGTTCTGTGCTGGTACAGGACAAAGCCAGAACTGGAGGGATGTCGCAAAAGAAATGGTCCAACATGTAAGTGCTGCAGAAGGGCAGGCGGAATGCCATGCTGGTGTGGATGGCCCCAGAAGCTGTCCCAGTTGTGTAGGACATAGCTACTAGGACTTGACATAGGCGCCGTGGCATGGCAGCTCCATAGTGTAGTGGGTGGCATATGGCTACATAACAATCATAAGCCATGGCAGCCAACAGACAGCACTCGGCATCAGAAGCAGCTGCAAAGAAGAACATCTGGAGGGCACAGGCTGGGATAGGAATGGTGTCATGCCCTCTCAAGAGGCCTACAAGCATCTTGGGGGGCTACTGTGGAGCAGGAACACAAGTCCATCAGGGCCAGATGACTCAGGAAATAGTACATGGGAGTGTGGAGGGGCTGTTCAACCCAGATGAGAAGAGCCAAGCACAAACTCCCCAGGAGACCAAGAAGATAGATGGGTAAGAAGAAGATGAAGAGAAGGAGCTGAAGGTCACGTCGGGAAGTAAAGCCCAGGAGGGTGAACTCACTCACCACTGTGCCATTGCGATGAGCCATCAGGTCTGCTGGAGGGAGAGACAGTATTAAACTCTTTCCTGACACCATCACATGGTTACCAATAAAGGGCTTCACTTGATCATCACCTAAAATTGCACATTAAGGGTCAACTATTCTCTGCTACCAAAGGGATGTAGAAACTCATCACAGTGGGAATGCTTTAGCAGAACATTTAGCCCCAGCCTTCATCCTGACATGAGATTTTCAGATTCAACACTGAGTGGGTTCATCTCTCTCTCTCTCTCTCTCTCTCTCTCTCTCTCTCTCTCTCTCTCACACACACACACACACACACACACACACACACACACACACACAGAGAGAGAGAGAGATATTGAATATATGCCATGAAGAATAATACTGTAGATCACTGTGCATGTGCAGAATTAGATATACCTCTGTTGTATGTGAGCACATGTGCACTTGAGCATAAAATCAAGCAAATATAATCACTTTGGGACATGGCTGTACATTGTATTTTACTCTTCCCAGCAGGTGTGGACAATCTCAGAAGGAATGAGGGCCAGTTTTCAGATTTGCTGTCAGGCCAGGGGCCATGCTTCCAAGCAAGGGAAGCTAAAGGGGGAAGTGTTTGGCCAGAGAGGCAAACTTGCACATTTAAGTTTTAGTTGTTCTTTTTAATTAATGCAGATTTCCAGGATTGCAAAGAGGAATAAATGGAGAGAAGGAGAGAAAATTTTAGCAGTTAAATGTAGTAGCATAGAAATATTGCAAAGGCAGAGGGATAGGCCGATTCCAGATGGAAGGCTTGTCATGCCATTAACAGACCTTTTATTTTTCTTCTTCTTGGAGGACTTTCCACAGTAAGAAAAAGATTGGAAGAAGGGGTAAAAACAAAAGGGAGTCATGAATGGAAGGTTTCATACATCTTGGCTCTACTGTCAATCCAAATAGAGATTGCAGTCAAAAACTTAAAAGAAGACTGTATTTTGGAAGTACAGCTGTGGAGGAACAGGGAAAGATCCTCAAGTGTAAAAATGTGTCACGGGAGGCAAAGGCCAGGATCACTCATACTACGATATTCCTGATTTATCATGTGCAGACGTGAAAGCTAGACAAAAAAGAATGGTTTTAGAGCAAATAAATCCTGAACTCTCACTAAAAACTAAAATGACTGAACTGGCTAGTATTTTGGACATATCATGAAAAAATAGGATTAATTGGAAAAGACAAAAATGCTAGGAAAAGTGCAGGCGGGGAGGGGCGGAGATCCATATCCACAGCCCAGTTCTAGCAAGCCCACGGACCGGAGGTTGACGACCCCTGGTGTAGGCAACACACCACTGTAGTAATGGGGGACTTTAACTACTCGGATATCAACTAGGAAACCAACTTTGCAGCAAGTGGGAGATCCAACAGGTTCCTGACATGCCTGGCTGACAACTTAATCATCCAAAAGGTGGAGGAGGGAACTAGAAGGTCAGCCATAGTGGACTTAATACTTACTAATAGGGAAGAAATAGTTGATTTCATTTGATTATCACCTAAAATTGCACATTAAGGATCAACTATTCTCTGTTACTGGAACTTTAGGAGAAAGGAGCCATGTCATATTAGAATTCAGCATCATGCAGGCAAGGGTAACTGTACCAAGTCAGACTAATGTTCTAGATTTTAAGAGAGCTCACTCTAACAAACTAAGAGATGTAATAGGGAGGATTCCATGGATGAAAATCCTAAAGGGAAAATCAGTTTGGGATGCTTGGGAAACCCTGAAAGGTGAGATAATAAAGGCCCAAACCAAAACAATACCCCAGAGAAAGTAAAAGAAGAGACGTTTGACAAGATCAGTGTGGATGCACACAGAGCTCTATGGCAAGCTAAGAAACAAAAAGGATAAGTATAAAAAACTGAAAAGGGTGCTCATAACTAGAATACCAGCAAATAGCTTGAAACTGCAAGGATGGAGTCAGGAAGGGTAAGGCTCAGAATGAGCTAAGACTTGCAACAAATGGCAAAAATAACAAAAAAAGTTTCTTTTCACATGTAAGGAGCGTGAGGAAAGTCAAGGAAATGGTTGTTCCACTAGTGAGAGAAGATGACAAGAAGGTGACAGGCAACAGGGAGAAAGTGGAACTGCTTAATTCTTTTTTTGCATCCGTATTTACACAAAAGGAGAAATTGGTTCACCCTGTCAAAAGCAGCACTGTGGGAGACTGGAGAGGGAAGCAGGTCAAAACAGGTAAGGAAGTGGTAAAAGAACACCAAGGTGCTTTGAATGAGTTCATGTCTCCTGGACCGGATGGTTTACATCTCCTGGACTGGATGGTTTACATCCCACTCTTGCTAAAAGAACTGGCAGGTATGATCTTGGAACCACTAAATGAAATCTTTGAGAGGTCCTAGAGCATGGGCAAACTGCCAGAGGACTGGAAAAGAGCTGATGTGGTTCCAGTCTTCAAAAAGAGGGGTGGGAAGTGGATCCAGGAAACTACAGACCAATCAGCTTGACATTAAGACCTGGGAAAAATCCTGGAAAAAATAATTAAGTAGCAAATTTGTGAGCCACCTAGAAAATAACAAGGTGATTACTAGAAGCCAGCATGGGTTTGTTAAGAACAGGTCATGCCAAACAAATCTTACTGCCCTCTTCGATAAAGTGATTAAATTAGTGGACCAAGGAAATGCAGTGGATATAGTATACTTAGACTTCAGTAAGGCATTTGATAAGGTAGACCACAAACTATTTCTGCGTAAGATAGAACAAAGTGGGATAGACAGCACAACTACCAGATGGATTTGCAGCTGGCTGACCAACTGCATTCAACATGTGGTCCTCAATGAAACCATATCTACAGTGGTGCCTCGTATAACGAGTGCCTCGTATAACGAGGAAATCCACATTAACGATGGCTTTTTTTTAATCGCTTTTGCGATCGCATACCGATGTTGCCTATGGGAAAAAATCGCTTTGCGATGTTTTCCCCATAGGCACCATATGCCGGCTGAACAAGCGGGCGTTTGCTCGGGAGGAGGTGGGGGAATCTTCCTACCTCCTCCTGCCCAATCGCCGGCCTGTCAGCCGGCTGAAAACCCGGCGTTCGCTCGGGAGGAGGTGGGGGAATCTTCCCGTCAGCAGTGTGCTGCGGCTGCCAAGAAAGCTAACACAGTCCTAGGCTGCATCAACAGGGGGAATAGCATCAAGATTACGGGAAGTGATAGTCCCACTCTATACTGCACTAGGGAGGCCACACTTGGAGTACCATATCCAGTTCTGGTCACCACAATACAAAAAAAAAGATGCTGAGGACCTGGAAGGGGTGCAGAGAAGAGCAACAAAGATGATAAGGGGACTGGAGGCTAAATCCTATGAAGAACAACTAAAAGAACTAGGTATGTTTAGCTTAATGAGTGAGGGAAAACATGATAGCGGTCTTCCAGTATCTGAAGGGTTGCCACAAGGAAGAGGGCATCAATTTATTCTCCATTGTGCTTGAGGGTAGGACAGGAACCAATGGGTGGAAACTCGTCAGAAGGAGATCCAACCTGGAAATAAGGAGGAATTTCCTGACAGTGAGAACCATTAAGCAGCGGAACAGCTTGCCTCCTGATGTTGTGGGTGCCCCTTTGCTGGAGGTTTACAAGAAAAGATTGGACAGTCATCTGTCTGTGATAGTTTGAGGTCCAGGATGGTATGAGGTCTCCTGCCTTGGGCAAGGGTTTGGACTAGAAGACCTCCAAGGTCCCTTCCAATCCTATGACGTTTCTATGATGGTTCTATGATATAATTTGACTCCAAATTCAATCTGAAACTAATCACATCCTCCAGCTTACTTGTTAAGAGTTAGAGGACAAAACGTTTCCGATTCTGGTCCATGAGCTGCCTCGTTTCATTCAAGACAAGGATTCTACTACAGGAGAAGTCCAAGGTTCCAGTGGCTTGTCTCCACTGATTACCCATTGTGTCTAGGATCAGGTTCAAGGCTTTGATTCTTATGTATAAAACCCTCCACAGTTTGTGACCCTGCTACTTGTAGGAGCATCTCTTCCCAACACCATCTGCCCGACCCACCTGATCTTCCCAAGCAATGCTCCTGCGGGTAGCCACTCTAAAGGAGGCCTGGAAGTCATCTGTGAGAGGTCTTCTTCACAGTGTCACCAACTCTGAGGAACTACCGTAGCTCCTCATGGAGCTATGCCTGCCTCCCGTCCAGCTTAAAATGCTGCTTTTCAGAGAAGCCTACCACCATGGACCTGCTTGATTTCATGCCTCCTCTCCTGTAGTTGCACAAATAATATACCTTAGGTGCTATTTGGTTTTATTTCTTTGAATGTTCTATTTTTTCCTTTGTTTATAGGTTTGCTGCTATAGGTCTATTTTCTCATGTTGTTGTAAACCACCCAGAATAGTGCATTGCACTAATGTGGCAGTATATTAATAGAATGAATGAATGAATGAATGAATGAATGAATGAATGAATGAATGAATGAATGAATTCCAAAGGAGAAGAACAGCAGAAAGGCCTGAAAATGCAGCAGTACTGGCTTATTTTTAAGTAAGTAAAATATCACACATATGGATCTAAAGGAGGGAGTCTAAATTTGCCCAATTGTCCCACTGGTTCCAGTAGCCAATGACTAGAAACAATAAACATTGATTGCTGGAGTTGTGCTCCTGTCGCTAGTTCCCATCATACCTGAACAGATGGTGAAATAATTCCTCCTTTATCAGTCCTTGTGTGATTGTTTTGTCTAGACTCCTTTGCTTTATGGTTTTTATGCTGTTTTAGGAAGTCACAATATGTCCTCTTCTTTGTTCCCCCAGGCAGGTAAGATGGCCTGATACCGCCTTACCCTGTCACTTCTTCATTGGACATGACCCCCCATGAGGACAGTTATAGTTAGTTTCTTGAGAGGGTTTGGAGAATCTGCACTCAGGGGAACTTGTTATCTAGTCTAGAAGGACTATCTTCCTTTTGCCAATTAAGCCTATGTCTTTCCAAGATCATCTCACTTAATTATAGTAGCCTCTGGGAGAA